AACGTGTGAGTGACGGCCTGCCAGCCCCGGTTACCAGCGTCTAACCAACATGTCCCTCTCTCCTCTGATGTGCACTTTGTGTTTTGGCTCTGCTGCCCTCTGCTGTAGAGGAGGTGTATATCAAGCAGCTGATTAACAAATGTAAGGCTTTTCGCGCTGTCGCTTTCCCACCAAACGTCTCTAAATGTCGTTTTTTGTCATAACCCACCGACATTTTTAATTATTCATTTGAGTTCATTCATCTGGTGTTGTTTGGTTTGAGACTGGGCCACAACAAAGACTCTGTGTGTGTTGTTTTCTGTGCAAAACATTTAAAAGTGCAGTGAGCCTCTGCATCCTTTCAAATCTAAGCTCTACGTGGAAAAAAGCTGTGTTTTTAAATGTCTGGCTGCAGAGGATCCTTAATATCCTGACAAGTGAAGGGGGAGAAAGGAATTGTCACCGTCTGCATAACACTTCAGACTATCAAAGCGGGCTCTAAAGCAGAAATAGCCCGACAAAGCTTGTGCGTCCGCGCTCAGTTTTGTCATGTCTCCACCCTCATCCCTCAGAAAAAGACAGACGTTGCAGCTTTACCAGCAAAATTTCTAATTTCTAGAAGTTTCTTCCGTCTTTTCAACCTTCAGGCCTCTTCATTTAAAAGTCTGTGCAGCTTTTTTCTTTTTTAGCAGAGCAGGAATGTGATATTTTAAAGGAATTCGAATCTTACTAGCAAAATCTCCTAAGAATAAAGTCAGCTGAACAGAAGACACAGGCCGCTTATCCTTAAATGTGCCTTTGGGATCTTGTTAATGTGGAGGCGCTGCGTTTTCTCTTTGGCTTGGACTTACTGTATTTCTAGAGTTTACTCAAGAATCATGTGGTCAATCGGCCCTTTTTGTGACGCAAAATCACTTTTGTCCCATTTTCAAACGCTATTATTTATTCTGCTCCTGGCCACTGATGTTTCCCTGATTCAAATCAATGCAGCATTGGCAGAATGTAACAATCTTTTAAGAGATCCATTGAATGGGAATCAGGGAAACACCTCAAAGTTTTAGGTCCTGGTTTAGTGGATCTGATGCAAAGGTTATGTGGTTGTTCTGTCTGATAAAACAGCAGCCAGTCAGCGCTCCCTCCAGATTCTGTTTTGAGTCTTTTCTTTTATTGATTCAAAGGCCGTTAGCTCTGTTTGATTTCCCGAGGACATAAATCTGGACGTTTTTCGGATGGTGACATCAGATTTTCCCGTTCGGAGCATTTGAAAGGATGGTGGTTGCCGTTGTGTGCCGGGTTGTGTTTGTGTCGTGGTGCATTGCTCACGCGGAGGCCGTGCATCATCCTGGACGGAGCGTTTGTCTCAGGTACGGGCATTTGTGCTGTCAGGATGGATTTGCCGTGCTTGTTTCTGCGCATTACCATGGCTGTCGTCCTTGTCAGCAGCAGGGCTTCAGGCGCCCATCAGAGCCGGGGAGGTAACCAGCCTCCTTTAATTTCCTCTTTTTCTTTGTTAGATCAGGAATACCAGAGGTTGAAGGTGGGGATGGAGTCTCTGTTGGCTTCAAATGATGAAAAGGTAGATCCGAATCGGTCTCTTTTTCACGTTTCCTTTTATTTCTCCGCTTGGTTTTAAAAAGGGATGAATAATTATTATTTGGTGATGACAGGATCGGCGCATAGAGGAGCTGACCGTCATGCTCGGCCAATACAGAAAGATGAGGGAGGTTCTGTCTCTCACTCAGGGTAAGAGCTTCATTTCACTCCGAGCTAAGAGGGAATCCTCCATGTTTTGATCACATTTCGGTTTTACCCACCAGGGAGCAGCGAGGAGGAGCTCAGCGGCAGCCTGAAGCTCAGAGCCATCACACACAAAGCGCACTCCGACCCCACGAGGCCAGAGGTGACGTCACACAGGGCTCATGCTCTTTTTCTGTAAATCCTGAGGAGAGAAGCAAGAATATCTAAATTCAAATTAATTTTGTCTGCACAGGTATTATCCAGAGGATCTTCTCCACTTATGCTGTCCTCGTCGCCTTTCCAAAGGGAACTGGATTCAAGGTGTTGATCCTACACTCACACACACAGACTCACTCACACACACACACACACACACACACACACACACACACACACACACAGCACTTCTCATGCATTTTTCCTGCCGTTCTCTGCAGTTTCCAGAACTCTGTGGACACATCGCTGGTTTCCGCGGGCGACCCGACGTTCTTAAACGGATCCTGGTGAGCGCGCACGTTCGGTTCAAAGTGCACGTCGACATCCACTTCCTCACAGGTTAAACAGGTTTGTTTTTTTTTCTTTTTCCAGCTATCGGCGCCGGCTGCTCTCCAGCAGTCTTGAGGAGCTGCAGAGTGGATCTTTGGAAAAGGTGGGTTAGCTCTGATAATAACTGGTGAATACATTCCCCAGAATCCAGTGAATTATTTATCAAACCCAGCCTCTCTGATCCCGAGGAGCACTAACTCTCTTCCTCTGTTACATTACTCGCCTGACGTTCTTCCAGTCTGTGTGATAACTAACATGTTAAATCTGTGTGTGTGTGTCTCTGTCTTCTTTCTCCCCTCCTGGGTCTTTTTTTGGCTTCAGGCTGTTGGGATCCAGCCGGTTGAGCATGAGTCAGACGTAGGGGCCGAGGTACTGATCTGCTGCCTCCTTCATATTTTCACCTCACAGATCTCGACACGGCGGGAAAACATCGCTCGGATGCTTGATCCGCGCGGCCGGCGTCTATTTGTGTGCATTTATTTGCCCCAGTGGTTTCACGCCACAGTTAACATGCAGCCTTGGAAATACAGAAATATACAAGAGCGTTCTGATCTGTTTCTACTTAAATTCATGACCTTAATTTGGTCTCGAAATTAGACATGCTCACATTCCATCTTGAGATTTACCAGATTCTTTGTATGCTTGGGGTCAGTTTTTCCTTTGTAACGAGGAAGAAAATTCCTCCTTTGTACTTCGCAGCCGTCTATTTTTCCTCTCAGGATGAAAACAAACAGATAATCAAACCACGACCACACACAAGCGCACATGAAAGGGCCACGACCCACCTGAAGTGGCTGTCGGATGAGCTCGGCTTCAAAACTGCCTCGCAGCTGTTTCCCTCTGCTGGCCTTTCTCCAGTTTCTCCACCGGCGCCCCGCTGGCTTTGATGCCTGCTCAGATTCTGGCTTTGTCAGGCGCTCACCCTCCGAAGAGCATTCTGTTACGCAACAGAGCAAAAAGCCAATTCACATGGCCGCCCCTCGTTTGTTCCATGAAAGACATGAACCGGGGACGTATTTAAAGCCGCGGAGATGTGCGTTAAAGCCAGGAGACCGGAGTCAAACCGAGTCCACTTCCTTAATACCAAACGTTGAGCAAGAAGGCCATGACTTTTGTCCATTTTGAGGAAGGAAAATCTACTCATTTGAGTGCGGTTGTGTGGCGGGATGAGGAATCAGCGTGGTTTGTGGTTTATGCTCCGCAGAACCCGCTGGCGGAGCTGAGCAAATACCAGACTCTTCCAGGGAAACTGCGCAAAAAGCCCGAGCCGAGGGCCGAGCTGAACGGCGAACGGGAGGAGGAGGACGAGTACCTGTCGCCTGTCCAGCTCTCTCCTGCCCACGGCCACCCGAAGGACTACTGCCTGAGTGAGTGTCCACGTCCCTAAGAAGAAGCAGCTCTATCATCACATGAAGGAGAGAGTGAACACATAACCCTAACCCTAACGCGTGAATTTCTTTGCTTACTATCAAAACAGAACGAAGTTTGATTCCCCAAAATGTCCAGAGTCCAAAATTACACTTGGATGTCTAAAAATGTCTGTTAGTACAGACTAGAGTTTAACTAACAATGCTTAAGCCAAAAGCTGCCCTTGGGGTTGGAAAATGAACTTCCCAAAACATGAAGTGACCACCTGTTAGCTTATCTCACAGAGAGACTGCCAGAATGATAACAAAAACTGCTGTTCACAGGCGGGTTCCTGCTCAGGCTGGGTTTGAACTGGGTTCATTTCATACGCTAGCCAAGAAAAAGCTCAAATAATTTGTGCGGATGGAGTCAAGCAGCGCATTCCCATTTGTTTCGAACCCTTCTCTTCAGCTGGCCCTCAACTGAGTGTAAGAACCTACTCAACATTAGAGGTTTTTAGTGGTTCCAAGTGTGTGCCGGTCAGACTGGGGAGCGGATCTTTGTTTGAACTGTTGATTTGACCTAATTCTGTGAGTTCTACATGCTGAGTAACTCTCTTGTCGACTAACTTTGCCTCACATCCTTCCTCTCCTGTTCCCTTTTCTCCTCTGGTCTGCTTCGCTGGGGGATTGTTTTTGTGTCTGGCTGCAGTTCGCTGCAGGAGTGCCAGCGCTCCGGCTTTAGGTACTGTATGCCCTCCCAAAAACCCCTCCGTCTCCGCCTGACAAAACAAAAAAAGGCCACGTGCCTCACGAACAGAGCGCGCTTCTCAGGGGCACGGTAAAGCCTCGGAGGTGAGCGGAAACTGTGTGCACCGAGGATCAGGGAGCCTTAAAGAAAAGGACTGTTAGGCCGGGGAGCTTTCTAAAGGAAAGCTCGTCTTTCTCACATCAGCGGGATGTGCATATGAGCACGGAGCTTACAGCAGGAGGGTAAAAGGACAAACATACAAACAAACAAATGTGAGACGGTGAGAACGGAAGCTCAAAAAATGGAAAGAGTGCAGAAAAAAGGAGTCTGGAGTATTTCTCTCAGAAAGGGATCAAAACGGTGCCATCGCTCCACGGAGTTGTCGGTTATTTCCGTCCCAACTGCTCAGATTTGGTGTTTTCAGCGTGGTCGGCGTGTCGCTGCATGCATCGTTTGCATCTGTGTTGTTTTTGCATCTTTTGTGTGTTTACCTGCATGTTTTCACAAAGTGATGGACATCTCACTCTGTCGTCCTGTGGTGATATTTGTTTTCATTTTGCACGTTATTTATGGTCATTTTCCTGTCTGATTATTTTTGTCTGCTTGCCTTCTTTGGGCATTTGCAGTGATTTTGTTTTATTGTTTTGTCCTTTTCTTTGTATCGGACCTGGTCTTGGACTTTTCACTTAATATCAAACGTCCACTCAGTCATTTAGGACCTGCAGCGGTGTCCAGGAAGCCCAGTAACCCCAGTCTGATCTTTTCTTTTTTGTTTCCACTGTGTTAGAGAGCATGAGGCCACATTTAGAGGAAACAGAAACTGATAATGGAGCTAAAAGCTCCAGACGTGGGTCTGTCTAGGCGGCTGACTGACTAGGAAGTCGGACCTGAAACGGCTCCCTAACCCAAACCGGGCCTGGAGCCGGGCTCCTTTTGTCAGTAACTCCCTCCAAGGCTCGAGATTCTTCCTGGTGCTGTTTGACCACTCCAGAGTGCACTGTCAGCACTTTTCAGCCACAGAAAAAACATTATAAACTACTTCTCATTATTCCGACACCCAGAATGGCGTCGACCAGACGTTTAATTCCAAAACTAAATGTTTCTGCGTGAACGGTGGGACGTGGCCCCGTTTCCCTGGCTGACGTGTGCCGGCTGTGTTTACGTCTGGCAGGGCGCTCGGAGAAAATGGAGGAGAGCCCGCTGTCGGACCAGTCCCCGCAGTCGTCCGGCGTGGACTCCGGGCAGCAGTCGCCCGTGTCCCCGGAGAACAGGAAGAACCACAGAGGCATCAAGAAGCTGTGGGGGAGGTGAGTGACGCAGTCTGGGGGGTTCACCGGTTCTCTGGGGGGTTCCCCGGTTCTCTGGGGGGTTCCCCGGTTCTCTGGGGGGTTCACCGGTTCTCTGGGGGTTCACCAGGTCTTTGGGGATTTAACCAGTTCTCTG